CCCCAAAACCCCAAAACCCCAAAACCCCACGCCTCTGAATAAATATTGAAAATAAAATAATAATAATAATAAAATGGAAAGTATGCCCAAAGCTGCAGAAGAAAAGGACGCCCTGAAAATTAGGTAACCTAAAGCTTAATTTTAGGAAATATTCTAAATTTACACTCTCTAATTTGTCACAAGCTTCGAAACTTTAATGTTAAAACCAAAATTTGCCATCTTCGAAATAATAACATCGAAAATTTCTTGTTCAAGAAGTTCTTACTTCAATTAAAAGAATTTGGCAGCCTCATCTCTCCAAAATCTGTTTTTACCACAACAGATTGCATTTGCTTCTCGTAGTTATGACTTCAGATTTCTAAAACTACAATTAACACTCTTTCATGAATCCAACTCCAACTTTCTGACGGATTTTGAGATGGATTCCTCTCCTCGTCCATCTCTAATTGTGCAGCCTAGAGAAGTCTGTTCTGGAAGAAACCAAGGAACAAGATATTGCCAGATGCCAGAGCATCCTTTATAAGATTTTTCCAGAGAAAAGAGAAATTGAGCCATTGGATTCAGACCCTGAAGAAGTCCCAGAAAATAGCAAACTTTACATTAATTCCAGGAATCTTAAAGATGCGAAGCTTGCCCAAAGTTTTAAGTGCCTCAAGTTCTTTGATACAAACTTTGCTGGTTTTTACGGTGTAGATTCTAAAAATAGGCACTTTTGAGATTTCTTAGAATCCTCATTCCCAGATAAAATTAGTGGGCTCTATTTTAACTCCTCTAATAACATGGATCTGAAGAGGTCCAATTACTTAAACTCCTTAGTCAGGATCAGTTCTAAAGTCCTCCAAGAAGCTACATTTAATTCTTTCTGCATCAGCCTCTCCTCCCTGAAGAGGATGGTGGCAGCTTACAAACATGTCAGAGTGTTGGGATTGTACTATTTCAAGTTATCAATCTCAAGTGCTCCTGATTTTTCAAAGGCTCTTTCTAACTGCCAGATCCAGGAACTAGAATTATATGGATCCGGATACTCTGATAGAAGTGACTGGAAGCACAACTTTGACAAATTCAAGAATTTGGTCCAAGGATTAGCAAGTTCTCCAGATTTAAGGTTGAGTCTCAAAGAGGTAGACATCACACACTGCGGAATAAACCAGGATGAAGTTGAGCAAACTTTTGAAGAAAACCGACTTGGAGGAGTTAAAATAACTGGTGGAAAATAACTTTGGCAAATTTCTCTTTGACTTTATTTTTTTTAAATGGGTCACTTCTCCACATTGACATTTGGTGGTTTTTTAATATATTTTGGGTTTTTCAATAAAGCTTATGTCGATTGGGGTTTTGGGGTTTTGGGGTTTTGGGG